CCATCCCTCACTAGCTCATCTGTGACTTCATTCATCACTTCATACCTTCACTTATCCATCTGTCCTCACTTTCATCTTTCATACTGCATCTTTATGCCGTCACGACCATTTGCTACCAAACTGAGCTAATTTGAGGCACTGTGTGTATTCTCAAAACCATTATTCTCCATTTGTCATTTTTCTTTAGAGCCTGACCCATATATGGGGGTGGATATATGAGCCGATATTAGCAGTTTGTTGAAATATGGTATCTGCATTTCTAAGGCAAAAATGTTTGAGTTTGTCCACCAGAGGGGACTATGAGATTCTCTCTCTTGGCACATGTTGTTGGAACACCACAACCACAACAAGCAGACTGAGAAAGAGCATAAACAAACAATCCACGACTCTACTGTCACATTACCTTTTTATGGCTTCACAAATAAATGCACTTAAATGTTAGAGAAATCAGTTTGGGTGTCTCAAGGAAAAAAATATTGTCCCGCGTAGATTTGATTAGCAAATATTGGTATCAGTATCGGTCTTTTAGCGGTCAGGTTTTGTTTTTCCTTTTCTGTTTTGTTTCCCTGCACATATTCTCCACTTTCCTCTGTCAAGATCTGAAACTAAACAATTTATTCATGTTTTGGTGCAACATATTTTATAGTCATAGTCGACCCTATGGTACAGTCGCTGGAATAGGCTCCAGCCCCCCAAAGACACTGAATTGGATAAGCAGAAGCAAATGGACGGATGCATATTTTACAGTCCAGACTAGCCTTTTTGGGGGTAGGCTTTGCTTATTTCAGCAAGATAATGCAACACAATTTACAATTTTGCAGGTATTGCTCCATAGAGGTTTCACAGTGAAAGTCTGGGTGCTAAGATAGCCTACCCTGCTGGAATCAAACAAAGGGGAACTTTCATTTGTTGCAGTATAAGACACTTATAACACATATTTGCTGTCAAAGCAGTTTTTAATGAGGGGAAAGCTGTTTCTTTGCACCATAATCTAACCATTTTCTTCTCATTTTAATATTTTACAACGCTGCAGCTTATTTATTGGCTTTTTAAACTCAGTAAATAACATGCTTGCATTTGGATGCCCCCCCCCCTCTGTATTGTTTCTCTTCCTGCCCCCACTCCATACTTGTAACACTGTGCCCAATTACACAAAGAATAATTCAAAAATAGCTAAATACTAAAATAATTCTGCTTCGTTTTCCCTTTCTTTCCCCCTGCACACTTATTCTCCTATTATTTTGCAACTAATTTCATTCATTCCCCAGGTTCTCTATCCCTCTGTCCTTTTCTATTTCAAGAGTTTCATTCTAAAATGAGATTTTTCCATTTGAAAAAAACAGACACCAGGAGAAGGAAACCGTATGAATACCAATGTGCTGCTGAACTTATAGGTCTACTTTCCTTTGCATACGAACTAAGCATGCGAAGGAAGATTGGATACTATTTTTTCCAAAAATAAGACTGTAGTAAAGCTATTTTTCTTTCACCGGCTAATGGATTTCACCTTCTGTCATCTATCACCCGTATCAAAAAGAAGCCTCTGCTAAACGCACAAAGAGTTTTAAATTCTCGTGTTTATAAGAACTGTGTAAGGAGAGGAGTCAAAAATGTGCTACCTTAAGAGACCAAGGGCCAACCTTCCAATTTGGAAACTGAAGCCAACAAAGAAATCCCCAAACTGTATTTACTCTAGTGACTGCTTCAAGTTGGCTTCAGAAATGAATTGTTCTCCACAGATGCACAGATGTTAAAATGCCCAACTTTATAGCATTAAAAAGCATGTTTACAGCCTGGTACAATTAACCATTTTGGTCCCCATTGTCAGTGTACCAAGGCAGTGATGTAGTGGTTAGCACTGTCGCCTTATAGTAAAGTGCTTTGGATTTAAAAATCCAGCCTGGGTCCTTTCTGCATGACAGACTGAATGTACTTTATGACATCTGGGAAAGGCCCCAGCCTCACAACCCTAAATTAGTCATAGCAACTCCGTGGGGGGGGGGTCATTTATTGTTATTATTTGCAGGAGTAAGGGGCATGACTGCTTTGATCAACAGGTGTCTCAACACAGGCACCTGAAGCCTGACTTTGAATAATCAGAGTCACTGAACAGGACCTCTCCGCTGTGTCTCTGCTGTTGATTCCCTTTGAGTGTTTTTTGTGGAAATATCTGTGCTACATTAGCATTAGCATTATCTGATAGCTTAGCACCCCACCCTCTTATCTACATATAGTCACTTCAGGCTCCAACAAAACAAGCGGATCCTTTAAATTGCAGAAGCTGAAAAAGTCACGGTGGTTACATATAAGGTCTACATTGTTTTTTAAAAATGCTCATTAAAATGCTGCTAAACCCAGTTCACCAAAACCTGTGGAAGTATAGTGTTTGCAAATTAGCTGACAAGATTTGAGGTTACACTGCCAAATCAGTTCTCTCTCGATGGAGACTAACAGTTGTATAATATCTTTAATGATTCTGGGGGCTGCTCTAATACCTGCCAAATAACCATAACAATGTAATCAGGGCCAATTTTTTGTTTGAGCTGAGGCGCAACAAATTTCTGACAAGCTTGCTGACATAATGTGCCTTTTGTTAGACACAGTTCCTCAAACTTTGCTACACAATTCCCCATATTCCCCTCATATTCCTCTCCTTTGTCACCTCATTCCTCTGTCCATTTTTTTTCCAGTCATTCTCTCATCCAGTCTCTCTCAGGCCCCAGCCATCTGCTCTGTGTGCCCTGACATGTGCATGAGCGCCCGTGAGAAGCCCAGTGGAAGTAATCGTCTGTTACCACTCAGGCTTCACCGTGTTGTGTGCCCACTGCGCATACCTCTTTAGCTCCCTGCAAACCCACTGAGTGTATGGGCACAAGAGAGGTAGAGAGAGAGAGACAAAGGAAGACATGAGATTGCTTGTGTTCTCTCTTATAATGGATGTGAACACAATTGTGCGCTCTCTCTGCTTCTTTGTTCTCCATCCATGCACCTGATGCCCCAATATACACCTAGCCGCCCTCCTGTCCCCCTCACTATACCGGAATTCACATTATAGTTTGACACCTCACTCATTTACTTTCGGCTCTTTTAGTGCTAAATGCATCAGTCACTTTCTGCTTCCTGCTCTGGAGCCTGTAGTAATCCCATGTTAGAGCAGCGTCTCTCTTTCTCACTTGCAATTTCAACGTGCTGTGATCGGCACGATGGGTAAAACATCTGCAGAAGAACGCTATTTAGACCCATGAGTAGGTTCACATGCTACTTGATCTTGCCTTGTGGCATCACAAAGAGATCCAGATCTCGTAGTGTTTCTGGTTTCGCCCAATAAATAAGCAATCTTTTCTCCTAAACCATCCCCGAAGGCCAGAGTCAGAGGTGATTTCAGGTGTTATTCACCCGTGAAAAGCACTGATGAATCCGAAGCACACGGACACTGCTGTGCAGGAGAAATCTGCTCTGTGCTCGACTTTAAAGTTGTCAGAGGGTATCCTCTAACTGAATCACTCTCTTGCTGTCTTCTGCTAATTCTGTCTTCATCTATATGTAAATAAAGGGCCATTAAAAATCAATCACAGCTATCTCCCCGTCTCTCTCCCTCAAACACATGGAGAAGATCTCGCTCTCCCGCTCTTTTATCTTCTCACACTCCCCATTTTCTCTTGACTCCCTTCTCCCCTGTGTCTGCTGTTGCTCCTGTTTGGCATGCAACACTTTGAAGCTGTTTGGGCGCACGCATGCAAGCAAACGTTCACGTTTTTTACTCCTGCACGAGAGGGGAAAACCCTTCAACCGTGCACTGTAAGGCCTGATTCTACCTGGATGGAAGTAGTGGGTTTTAATACATTTGATCCTTTTGATGTCATGAAAAAAAAAACTGGCTTGCCTTTCCATGGGCAGCAGCCTCTGGATGCAGGGAGAGAGAGGGAAAGAGAGAGAGAGCTTTTCCGTGATAGAACTGCGCTTTAACAACGTGACTGAGGGAGCAGGAGGAAGAGAGAGAATGTGTGTGCGTTGGGGCTGGGAAGGGGTAGATGTAAATTCATTTGGATCTCCCCGTTTGGTTCAGTGAAGCCAATACAATACAAGTGCGACCCCTACTGGTGAAAGCAAAAGTGGGCCTGAATCCCCCACTTGGCTGAGACGCTCCTCGCACAGTGAAAGAGCTTTCTTTTCTTTTTTGAGCTCGTTCTCACTTCGTGTCACAGTTTAAGGGTGGAACAGGCACGATGTGCATCTCCCTTCTTTAAATTACAACTTTAAAAAGAAATTAACTACAGGCCTCCTTGATGTATGATGATTGTTCATTCTGATGCGGGATGAGAGGAGCTGGAAGTTGTGCCAACAATTGGGATGACTAAAAGAAAAAAAACGTGGTGTCCAACCTCTGAATAAAAGAATACTCATTGCTCAATCATCCATCTTTGTTTTTATCGGCTAAAACACGCTCGGTTTCTTGTGTCGGTGGTTATACTTTGAGAAACTGGAGAAGAGGAGTGCACGAGCCCCCAAAGATCAGCCGAAGAAGCTGTTTTTTTTCTCTTTTTTTCCTCATAGCCGAGCTGACAGATTATAGCTCTAGGTGTGCCAATGAATTTAAGTTAAGGGAATAAACTGGTGTGTGTGTTTGTGTGTGTGTTTCTGTGTGTGCTGTACGCGCTGTGAAGCCGCCTGCGCTGCGCTCACTGCGCCAGTGTAAATTAATAGAAAATTATAGCGCTTGACGCGAGAGGCTGGACTGCAGAGTTTGCTTTTTTGTTTGCGTACCGACTCCCTTTAATCATCTTCATCCACGTTGATCTTGTTTTATTATTATTCTAATTATTATTTAGAGCGCCGCGTCCCTGCGGTGTGGTGCCGCACTTTTTGGATGAGGGACGCTTGTGGGTAAAACAAAAAGGCGCCAGTGGCACTCGCCGATCAAGGGAGATGGGGTGGGTGGGGGGTTATGATCATCAAAACCCATTTTCGGAGAGCAATAAGAGATACGGCAAAGTACTTACAGCATCTCCCTTCCACAGAGCTCCAAAACAGTGGTGTGAGATGGCATTGCAACAGTCCCCTCTATCCTCCGAGAAACCATGCAGCCACTGATGGTCTCACAAACACTGCACAACAGGAGAGAGAGGGGGGGTGAACAAAAAATCAACGACTCTCTCGCAATGAATTATTCCAGCGTGTCCAACAAAAAAGAAAAGAAAAGAAAAAGAAAGAAAAATAAATGAATGAATGAAATCCCCCGTTTTAGCACTTCACAAGCGCGCCGCTCCGAATAAAAAACATTGTAATCCAATCTTCATTGTGTGTGCGCCTGTGCTGCTGATTCTCCACTGCAATCTCCGCTGGCCCCGCGCATTGTGGGGGGGTGGGGGGTGGGGGGGTTCAACCTGCCTTGGTGCGATTGGAGCTCCCCGTATCCCGTTATTCCTGTCCCGGGAGGAGAGGAGCGCATAGGGGGAAGATGCAGACGCCGGACGCGCACATAGACGCACACGCACATTGACCAGTACAGCAGAGGCTCCGGCAGCCTGCGAGCCGTGCATGGGACCCTCTCCCAACGTTTCTTGTCGTTCACGCGTACGCGCGCGCGAGCATGTGTGTGTGAGAGAGAGAGAGAAGGAGAGAGAGAGCGTGCTGGCGTTTAGTCAGCGTGTGTGCCTGCGCGCTTCTGCAGAGGCAGGGGCAGCTGGATAGATGGACGGACTGGCGGTCCGTCGGTCTGTCGCTCTCCCTCTCTCTCCCCTGCTCTCTGCGCTAAAGCTCCATCAGGCAGCGGCTCAGTCCAAAAAAAAAAAACCCACACACAGTTGGGCTATATCACAAATGAGCGAGAGAGCACATTTTACCCTCCACTCCCGAAACGTTACACCATTTCAATTCTTATTTTTGTCAAGACTAATCTTCTTTTTGACAGCAGCGGCCCCCTCCATTCATTTTTTCCCCCCAACACAATCAATCCTTCCGGAAAACTACAGTAGAGCACACCATAGGTCCTACAGTGCAAAAGAAAAATATAATGTTAATATAACGTTATTATTGTACAATAAACTACATGGAGTGGATTTTTTTCGCTTTGCTTACTTTTTAATGCAGACAAAAACAAAAGGCTTTGCCTGAAATCTTCGCTAGTGATCTTTTACTGAACATGAATTATTTTTGCACTAATGCCTTGGTTCTTGTTGATGTTCTCATTGGCTCATTGCTCCGATTAGAGCCCACCTGCTGGTTTCTTGTCGTGCTGTGCCATACTACAAATTTTAGCATCCATCCAATACCAACTAAATAGAGTCCCAGTGTTATAGATATACCAGTACTGATACTTTTAACCTATAAAGGCAACTTACGTAGGGAAGAGCAGTGTGTTATGATTTATGAGCTAAATCATCACCGTTTGAAAATTCCGAACACATTTTAATGACCACTAAATCACTGTGATTTTTAGTTTCCATAATACTTAGTTAATACAATAAAATACACCTTTCAGCTTTTCATATATTTTGAAACTGGGTGTTTTGGAGACATGCAATGTAAATGTGCCTGTCTTGAAAGCACTGTGGGTCAGCTTCTGTTGTTTAAATGCACTATAAATAAATTAATAAATAAAATTAATGTGACAGTCAACACAAACGGGTTATCCTCTAAGATCTACATATTGAACTTAGAAACAAGGATAGAAACAAGATATCGACCCTATCACGCTACTATCGATCCAATACCAATACCAGCGTTCGTAGTGATACTATAAATATTTGGACTGATCTGCATTTAACAAAGTCACTGATGTTGTGTAGTAACTTAACTAGGACTGTTTCTGACTTGGAAACAAGGGTCACAAACCTGTGGTGTAAGTCTTCATCAGTTCTCTCATTTCAAACCTTAAACCAAGCTGAGCATTGTTAAAATACCACAGTCTAGCTGCGTATTGTTGTTGACCATGTCAGTCCATTGGTGACCACAGTGCACCTATCTTCTGATAGTTCCTTGCAGCAGAATAAAACACCATGTCACAGAGCTGAAACCTTTTCAAACTGGTTTACAGTCACCAGATTTCAATCCAGTAGAGCACCTTTTTGGATGTGGAGGAACAGAAGATTTTCCCCATGGATGAGCAGCCGACAAATCTGCAGCAACTGTGTGATGCTGTCATGCCAAATATCGACCAAATTCACTGAGAAATGTTTCCAGCACCTTGTTGAATATGTGCCATGAAGAATTAATGCAGTTCTGAAGGCAAAGGGTGGTCCAATGTGGTACTTGCAAGGTGTGCTTAATAAAGTCTTTGAAGAGTGTAGTGAGATTATCAGCACTTAATTATAGCTATAATTATATTACAACTAGGTTTATAGTACCAGTAAGATACCAATAAATGAAAGCAATTGGGAGTACTTAGGGGCAACAGATAAAAATATGCAGGAACAACCAGTGATGACCGCTTATTAAAATATACAAAGTCAATGATATCAGCAACAAACACAAGTCATCGAGCATAATTTGGATTTCCTCTTTCAAACAGACCTTGTGATTATACTTTTGTAAAAAAAAATAAAATAAAAATCTTCTAAGCTCAAAACACTGAAGCAATGATGTATCTCACATTGGTAAAAAGAGAAGCAAGTGGCGAGGTACGCAAAGTCTAAAGCAAACAACTTCACAGTGAGCGGAAAACATGCTCAAAGCTCGGATAAAAACACAGGTTGGTTCAGGATAAAACCCCTGTTGAGCATACATTATTAAAGCAGTTTTCTTTCCTTCAGTTGAGTCCCAGAGACTTGGAGAATCAGTGCTAAGGTACATTTAAGCTGTTGGCAGCACGTTACAGTTTTTCCACCCATCTGTACATTCCCTCGCGCAGGAATAAAAATAACACCAATTTTTGTAGCATGACCTCCAATTTATTATCGACGATACCACATCTTTGAAGTGTACTAGTTTATACACTCGTGACTGCCTCATCAGATAATCAACTTTATTCTCTTTCAGAATTGATTTGACACATAAATGGAGATCCAATAGCCTACATCTGACAAGTGACCTGTTCGTAATTTACAGTTATTTGCTGAGGGCGATACACAATGTAGACTTTGTCAGTCCAATGGACAGTAGAATATATAAGAACACATGGATAACCAGAGTTTCTGTTTAGTTTAATTAAATTTTAAATTTAATTCACTTTCAATATTTTCTTTTTTTAACACAGTAAGGGATGTTCAACATTGTACGGAGCCCCGCAAGGGACATGGGAGAAAAAAAAAATTAAGACGGACTTTTGCGAGATCTCGCAAAAACTAACACAGGATCTCGCAAAAGTTTTGCGAGATCTCACAAAACAAACTTGGGATCTCGCAAAAGTTTTAACATTGCATCTCTAAAAAAAAAAAGAAAAGAAAAGAAAGTAATTATTTGAAGGAATTATTTTGACCGGGGTCAATATTATTACCCCCCTGAAAAATTTACCTTTATATTGAGCCATAGCACAAACCACTGCTGTGAAATGATGGGCTTTGCCTTTGTAATGCTCAGTGCTTGTAAAATCAAGTTAAAACTGTGGGTTATGTTTCAGTTTACACACAGTATAAAAACTTCAGCAAGGGTTTGAGCTGTCACTCGAGAAAGCATCATGCCAAAAACAAAAGAACCAGTTTAGACCTGTTGATGCTCACAGAGCAGTAGATGGATATACAAAGATATCACAGTGCCGAAAACTAGAGTGAGAAGTATCATCAAGAAATTCAAAGAGAGCCATGCAACACCGAACATGCCTGGCAGAAGTAAGAAGCAAAAAATTTCAAAGACTCTGCAAAGAAGAACTGCTGAGACATTAATGAATGACTTAGCCAAGTCAGGAATTTTGGTCTTAAAGAAGTCAGTAGAACCATTCACAGGAATGGACTGTAGGGTTGTGGACCAAGAAAAACTCT